AGGAATGCCTTTCACTACTGGTGTTGAGGGGCAAGTGTAAGATTTGTCCGGAATAGCACCCTTTCCAGGTGTGGTGACCACCCACACCTCTAAACACAGCTCAGAGAGGTGATAAGATTTTTCTGAGTGATTCTTGACTCCGAAGGTAACAAAATTCCCCCCCCATACCTCTGCTTCAAAACCCAATTCTTTCTGTCCGCCTATGGGAGCTGATGGGGATTTTATCAGCCTAGGGGCTGCACACCAGAGCCTGAAATTTAAAATTAAAGAGTTTTGTGAAACCCATCTCATCACCAGGTCAGTCAGTGAAACAGTTCGCCCCGTCACCCGCGTACGTTCCTCCTCCCACCATTGCTCTGGTGGTCTGTTGACTTTTTCTACGTTGGTTTCTAAGTGCTGGCCAAGGGTCCTTATTTTTTCTGCCTGGGATGGTTCCCTGTAAAAAATGTGAAAATAATCCCTGGCCATCCGGCTCGATCCGCTCACGCCTGCATGTAGGCAATGCCGAAGTCCTCCTGCACCCACAACAGAGTAAGCACAGGGAATTTTTTTCAGGCAGCTTGCCTGTTGCCATACTAATTTTGTTTCCTTTTTTCTTGAGTGACACCTTACAGGTTGCCCTCAGAGTCTGGGCTGTGCCCACAGCTCGTTTGCCTGATTTTCCCTGGAGCTCTGCAAGGTGTTTTTAAGTAGGTTACCAAAATGGTTTTTCTCCTGTCCTAACGCTTTGGATACTGCAGGTGAAATCCTTGCTTTGAGATCTGTGAGATCCGGATTCATTCCACCATGAAAGAGCAAATACCGGATGTTTAAAAATTTAATGTTACTGGAGATGAAAAAAGCCTTAAAATGATCTTTCCTTTTGTGTGTTTCATCCCGCGCCCTTGATTTGACCGAATCTCTCATCTCGCTCTAAACTAAACCTTCCCATTTTCCCCAAGGTTGCCTCTTGGTAGATATTTTTCCCCCCAAATCTCCATAGACCTTGGCGACTGGTGCTTTATAAAAACATAGAGGTGGTCAGAGCCTTATCGTATGAAGTTAACTCCTGCTGGGCCTAAATAAAATGATCGGTGTTGCCCTCTGTGGCGACCATCAGCTCCTTCTTGGTTTGCAGAGCACGTATTTAAAATAACACCAGCTTGAATGACTTCCAGTAGGGTTCGAAGGCTGTCGGATTTATTCACCTACCTCGTGCGAGTTTGCCCTTATTCGTTAAATCTGGCTATTTTAAGCATCTGTGTAGGTGCTGCATGATCTTTTAAAATGAAGATAACTCTGCGGAGTAGGGCACCGCTAATTCCCCTGAACTCTGAGGCAGAGGTCCGAATAACGTGTCTAGGATTACACAGGAAGGCTGTAGCAGAGCTGAAAACTAAGCCCAGCCTGGTAAGTCCCACACTTGACCGCTCAGCCCCCAACAATCTTAATTGATTGTTTTCAGATTATCTAGGATTCTTCGATTAAAGGCCGATCCTGCATGTCGTTGTGCTAGCTGATTCCAGCGGCTTTGATCATTTTAAATAGAGGATCGGCTTACAACATGATTGGGTTAATCTGCTGCGTACACGCTTTTATTTCTTTGATACCATTACTTCCTTGGGTGATCTACAAAATTTACGAGGCTGGTTTTTTGCTTGCAGATACCACAAGGCAGCCAAGACCCGGAGAGGTGAATGGCAAAGGTGAGCGTGTTGCGGTTGGCCCTGTCTCATCAGACTCGGCAAACAATTCCTCTGAAAAATGTTAAGTTTTTTACATTTACAGGGTGCATTTCCTTAGGCAGACGTTCAGTAATGATATATTTGAGAGTGTGTATACGTATATGCATATATAAATATACATACATACACACGCTTTTGTTCTTTATCTCAGTGCCAGTGAGACCCGTAGCCATTTACCACTGTTCTGCAGCATGCAGCATGCGTTGGGGAAAAGCCAAGAGAGAGATGGACTTGGCAGAACAAACCCCCAAATTTAATTAACACGTTAACAGAAGCAGTCGTCTCGTCTAGATGCCGTCCTCTGTGACTTGCTGGTCAAGGGTTTCAAAGCGGGGCTCTCAGTTTAAGCGCCCTGGTCCGTACTTGGTCACGGAGTGGTTTGGTTTTCTGAAGTGTCGGGTGGCTCTGATGAGGTACCTCAATGCTGCGCTGCTTTGGGAAATGCTTAATGAGGTGCCTTTATCTGTGTTGATAGCTTGTGTGCAGCTGGCCAGCTGCTTTTCCGTTTTGTTTGCATATTTCAGAATGAATCGAATGAGGCTTGCGCTTAATTTCCATCGGCAGTTTTTGCTCTGAAGTGAAAGGAAGGAATTTTAACAAAAGATAGAGAAGCATTCCTTTTTAGTTCATTTGGTTTTGATGTTCTCTTTTTATCTCCCTCTCTCTCTCTAGTCCCATCCTAGTCTTTAATCATAAATGCTTTCAAATTAAGGGCCTGGGCAGTCCTGCTGTAATGTGTTCCACACCTGTGGGGAGTTGGAGCATGGGGAAGTTTCCCACTGCACCAAAAAGGGGAAAGGGTATGAAAAAGGGGGAACAGCAGCCTGTCTGGCCTCACAGAGAGCTCCAAAAAGTTTTGAGCAGGTGTCTGGGCAAGTGGTGTGGAGAGGGGATGCCGTGTACAGTAATTAGGAAGTAGATCACTGCGGTCTGCCTCCCAAAGCAGAGGTTTTAAGGTGCTTCTCCCCTGAGCACCCACAGGTGTCCTTTTGACCACGAGCCTTACTTTCAAAGATGTTCATTTCTGGCTGTTTTTCCCCTGTTTTCCCTATCCAGATTACCACTTTGTGACCAGAGAGGAAATGCAGAAAGAAATTGATGCTGGTGAATTCATCGAGCACGCAGAGTTCTCCGGGAATATGTACGGGACGAGGTATGCAGTTCAGACACTGTCGCTGCCGAACCGGGTGGTGCCGGGAGCTGAGATGATGGTGAAGGAGAAAATACTTTAACTTAGTGGCACCGTTTTCCCCCCAAACGGGCAGATTATTGCCATAAGCAGAGCCTTTCATTTTGATAGCGGGGCCCTTGTCAGCTTTATTAAGACAACAGAATTAACTCTGGCAGAGAGTTAGCTCATCGTAATTAAAGCATCGTTGTGTTATGAGATCCTCTGTAGCCTCCAGCGTTTGAGGGCTGCTGAAGTAGTTCATATGCTTAGCACTTCTCTTGCACAGGGGTGATTTTCGCAGACTGTTTATCATAGAATCATAGAATGTTTTGGGTTGGAAGGGACCCCTAGAGGTCACCCAGCCCAACCCCCCTGCAGGAGCAGGGACACCTTGAACCACATCAGGTTGCTCACAGCCCCGTCCAACCTGGCCTTGAATGTTTCCAG